GCTGCCCCGCCTGATGCACCACTAACTTTTGAACCAGCACGTTTGCTTTTCCCACCTACATCTACTTCGCCCATTTCCTTTTCAATCAGTGATATTAATGTGTTACAACGTCGCTGAAGTTCCTGCAAGGTTTTAAATAAACTAGATGCTGAAAATCAAGTTTTTGTCAAATAATAAAAAGTAACAATAATGATATAGATAACAACAGCCAAACTACAAACCACAGAAGTTCTCGACTTAATGAACCAATCGAAACGGAATTGTGGAGCCGCTCTAACAGCTTGTCGCAAATCTTCATAAACATTATCTTTATCAAAACCCAATTTGTGAAGCTGACAAACCATGAACCTACAAAGTAACAACACAGCTAGCTTTCTGAGCAGCAAATAAATGAGACTTAATGCAGCAGTACGCTCATTCACGTCTTTTCCTTCTCTCGTCCTTCTCTTCAACAGAAAAAAAGTACCGAAATCCGTTACTTATCACGGCCCACAGAGAAAGATACGATGATAACTTAAAGTTTACCTATCTTCTTCTTCAGTGTAATTCTTGCCCTTATTCGTTCCATATTGAATTCGCAGCTGATGAAACGGAGCTTTGTACTTAGCAATCTTCTCGTCTAGAGCTTTTTTAATGCTTTGTCTGCGTTGGATACGAGCTTCACCCTAAAAATCAGAGTTATGCAGAGTAAGCACCATTTCTCCATTTATTGATGCAGACCTTCCACTATAACAATAGCATAAAACAAGATATATTAAGGTCACTAAGAATAGCTAAAGAACAAGCCTTTTCAATCGTCGCCAATATTCTCTCATGGTCTGTTAAATCTTCAAATCGTTCCCAGAATAACTTGGCATACTCTTCCACCTGAAAATTTGAGAAAATCAGAAAACAAACGAATAGGAAAAAATGCTTCAATTCAAGGAAAAGCCACCAAAAGCTGACCTCTGCGGGCGTTTTTGTGTCAATTTCTTTTGCGATATTTTCAAGATCATGTCTTCCGTACTTTTCATTAGCCTTGACGAACTGTTGGAATTCACGTCTGGTCCAATTACTCAAACCCTTTAAACAGAACATCAAGAAGGACTTATAACATTAATGTGCAAGAATCGTGTTAATAATATAAACCTGAGTCAAAAGTTCAGCTTTTTCAGCTTGTTCCTCCTCAGTCAGCGGGAGTGCACTGTCAATCTTCTTCTGTTCCTCTTTTTGCTTTTTTTCCGCTTCCTTCGTAGGTAAATCAGGCTGTTTTTGGGCCTTCAAGTTGTATATCATAAAGAAGCGACGCAAAAACAAGACAAATTAGTAAATTTCAGTAAACCTTTTGAAAAATGATATATTTTTAAAGAAGAAACCTTGTAGCCTATAGTTTTTCGATGCAAATAAACTTCCTTTTCTAACAAATCAAACAGTCGCTTTGGGTAAAACTGAAAATCTTGGACGTTTGGCAGTTTGGGAGGTTTCGGAGCTTTCGGCGCTTTTGGTTCAGCATGTCCACCTCTCATAGCCTCTCTGTAAACCAAAATATGATGACATTAAAAAAGATGGTTCTGTAACTGCATTCAAAGCATCATAAACGGTAAGAAAAAACGAAGTAAAAAGAAACTTAAAACTTGCCAAGTTACAAATAATAAAAAATTGTTCACCTAAAATATGCATCAACTTGATAATTTGCTTTCCTCTCACGCTTTGGCGGCTCGATCCAGTACCCTATGCCAGTAAGTTTTTGTTTCTCGCGGTAATCTTCGCCCTCAAACTTGTACAAAGTGTCTTCATGTGCGTCTAGGGTAAAGTTCCGCAATGAAGCCTCTCCCAATGACTCCAGCTTCTTTTTCAGCTCCTAAACGATTGCACCTTCCAATTTAAATTACAACAGGAAACAAACTTGTTATTAAACTTTCAAAGTTCAAAAGGTCAACCACACACCTCAGTCTTCTGTTCTGCTTTTTGCAAAATGGTATCTATATCTTCGTCAGTAATAGTGCTATCTTTAGACGCAAACACTTGATCTGCACCATGCCTAATCATGTCTAGCATATCCTCCTTACCCAACGTTTTTTGTGAATCCGTAAGCCGTCCCTAAAGCTTTTTAGCAAAGAGAATAAGATACAAGAAGTTAGTAACTATCAGAGAACCCAAAATTTCTTCCACACTCGAGAACCAGTAGATTAAGAATTCGTCACCTGCTGAATAACAATAGAATCTAAGTGAAGCTTCATGTCAGCACGTTCTATAATGCGCTCATCTACAGTATTTTCCACTATAAAACGAAACACACGGACTTGTTTTGTCTGGCCAATACGATGCGCCCGATCCTTAATCGAATGGGAATTAGAACCAAATTAATGAAATTTGGAAAAATAACTTAAATATTTCAGCGCTGTAATTATACCATAGCTTGTAGATCCATCTGAGGGTTCCAGTCACTATCATAAATTATTACAACATCTGCAGCGGTTAAATTTATACCAAGACCTCCAGCACGAGTAGTAAGCATAAAAATGAACTTTTCTGAATCTGGCTTATTAAATTCGTCAATTGATTTCTGTCTGTCAGCATGCGCAGTCTGTCCATCCAAGCGACAATATGGATAACCACGCCACCAGCAGTAATCCTCAAGGAGATCCAACATCCTAGACATTTGAGAAAAGATCAAGACCCGTGAGCCTAAAAAGAAATTACAATATTTGCACAAGAATTCGATCGATAAAACACAACAAAAAAAGTGACTAAACACACTAACCTTGCTCTTTCAGCTTTTTAAGAAGCTTGTCTAACAGCACCATTTTCCCAGAATTATCTACCAGATGTTGGTCGGTTGTGTAAGGAGGTCCAGGTTCAGCCCCGTCAAACAAGTACGGATGGTTGCAACACTTCCTCAAATGCATCAAAATATTCATGATCCGAGCCTAAAACAAAAGTTTTG